CCCCAAAACCCCAAAACCCCAAAACCCCGCGATCCAGTTATAACATTGGCAAATAATATCTAAAAATAATTTCTTAAATTTCTAAATATGTTCAAAATCTTTTTAGTCTTCTAGCAATTCTTATATTATTAGTAGAAATCTCATTAATTTTCTACTAGCTTGAAATTAGTGGCTCATCGTTTTCATGGAAATCAGTTTGATTGTCATAATCAAAATTTTCTGTCAGTATTTTCTATGATTTTGTTTTATCTAGCATATGATCAAGGTTTGAAACAATATTTTGACGAATAAGGTCAAAATTTTCTCCTTCCTTTTTAATTATTTTTGAATGATTAGTTAAGTTATTGAGAATTCTTTTGTCTATTTCTTTTTCCTTTGAGGCAAGTACGATTTATTTCACAAAAAATTTATGCTATGCTTTTTTTAGTTTTGAAAACTAAGACCATAATTATATCTCATCATCTTATTTCTTTTTTATTTATTTTTAATTTTCTACTTCCAAGTCAGGCTCTTATTCAAGTTCAATCAAATTTGCTTTAAAGTGAGGTACCATTTCCCTTTGATACTTTTTAAGTATAACTTTATAGAGTAGGTTTGAATTTTAAGTATTTCTAAATATATCTATGATTTCAAATTTTTTTGATAGCTTTTTAGCTGCGATTCTAAACAGTTCTCTTCATTAGATTTTAAGAAGAGAGATTTTTTCTTTAAAACAGGGTATGTTGGCAAAGAATCGTTCGCATAAACCTACTTATAATCTTACTCTATTCTTAATATCATTAAGTATAATTTTATATACTGGTTTCTATGCTGTTTCTTAATCCTCTTAATTATCCTATATAGAATGATTTACTTTTAATTTCTTTGAGTCTTTTCTGCATTTCTTCAATCCATATTAGTTGTTAATCTGAAAAATGTTTTTAATTATTGATTGTTCAAACTTTTTCTCTTAAATTCCACTAATAAAGAAAATGATTATTGCTTCTATAATGCCCATAAGTCCTCCAGTACTTACAAATACATCAGTAAGAAAATAATTTGTTCTTATTGTAGTTTAAGAAACATCATCAAAATAAAAATAGAATGCTAGAGGCTGTTCATACTAATATCTTCCTGAATAATAGTGATCTTCTCTTACAGAATGGTATGTTTTATTATTTTAATCAAGCAAACTTGATATCCAATTATTACTAAATACCATAAAGTTTTAACTTATTTTCATATCATATGCTTATGAAGACTATGATGAGCATTGACCATATATTATTTTTATGTAATTTTGTACAGGATTTTCAGAGAAGTCATTAATATTGGGTATTTAATTTATTAGCAAGATTTGAAGTTCCAATTGATCAATAGCGCGTTCAATTTCTGCTTAGCTGGCACACTTGATATTCCTAGTATCTCTTGTGCTCCCACATTTTTCTATTACAACTTAGTAATACCAAATTGAAGAGGAAGCTGATGTTCCAGAAAGAATGAAATCGAGATCATCTGGGCAGTAATATGCTTCAGATATACTCAAGTCTTGAGCTTATTCATTTGTGTTTTTAAATCACCCTTCTTGGCATTTACTAACTGTACTAGGTGTAAAATTATCAACATAGTAGCTTCCGTCATCTTTCCAACCATAATTTGCTGGTCCAATATCTACAAATGCATATTAGCTTAAGTTATCTAGCAAAGTCTGATTCATTGACATCACTTGAAAAGCAATGTCAAAATTATCTTTATTGAGAATAATTTTAGGTTTTTCTGTTGAGAGATTCCTTGTTACATTTGTAATCTAAATTGTGAATGACTTATTAATCACCTATATTATCTCTTGAATGAAGAATACTAGAATTCCTATTCTAAAGATTAGAGTAATGGTTCCACCAAATAAAGATTTGAAGGTAGAGCTCTTTTTGTAGGTAAGTGAAATCGGATGACCAAATTTATCTTGCTATCTTATGCAATTAGAAATTCTCCTAATCTTCGACATTATGAAATCTGAGATAATAATTGATTATTTTAAGAATTTTTTTAACTCTGTTTTAATTAAAATCTATATTTACATACTATTCTCTATTTATGCACTGGGGTTTTGGGGTTTTGGGG